CCCGAGGGCCATCCTGCTGGTGGTGCGCGCGGGAGCCCCGGAGCGCACCGTTCCGGCGGACACACCTGGGGCTGACGGTCGCGCCCGGGGTGGGGGGTGGGGTGCTCCCCCGGACGCCGTCTCTACTGAGTATGCTCAGCCGAGGGTCCGCGCGCCGGCGAGGGCTGGGGGCGCACCCCTAGCGCCCTGCGGAGGGAGAGGAGGCTGGGAGTCTTCCCTGGAGACACTATGGAGAAGTACCAGGTGCCAAGTTGTTCCCTGGCGGGGAGGCAGGGGCGACGAGAACCGGCCGCTTTGGGGCGAGCCAGGAACCTGGACCTCCTGCCACCTCCCCAAACCCCTACTGGTTTACCGGTCACAGCCCCTGGAGAGGTCGCCGATGGCCAGGTGCCACCCCGGGCCGGGGTCTGCCTCCAGCGCGTAGGGGACCTCCAAAGGTGACCTCGTGGGTGCCCTTTGCCTCTCCGTTTCCCTCCCCCTCTAAAATGATGGATGAAATGAAAGACTGTCCATCCCCGTCTGTCTGAATACTTGATGGAAGAGAACTCCACCTCTCCCTCCTCCACCTCTCCCTGGGCCCATGGAGACAGGACACCTTAAAGCGTCCAAAATTCAGAATCAGGAGCCCCCAAACTCCTCATACAGGCCATCACTAGTCCCAGGTAGGAGGACTTGGGCCTTTTCCAGGGCCTGTGAAAATGTGTAAGACTTGAAAAATTCACAAAACAAAAGGAAAGCTGCAAAATAAAAATGAATGAATGTTCACTTAACTGCTTCTATACATAATATGTCAACTTTATTAAATGTTAGATTCAATCTTTGTAAAAATGTCATTAATTTGAAAACAATTTGTAGATGAGGTTTTTCTCACTTTTGAGAACTCCGTTTGTGTGGGAGGAGAGCCCGGGAGTCAGCCAGCAGTAAAGGAGTGGAGTTTCTGGGGGCCAGAGAGTTTTAAAGGCAAAGTTACCTTTTCAGGAAAAAAACAATAGACTCCACCTGAGATACGAGTGTGTTTTACCGCTCAACCTGCTACTTAAGAGGGCCTAGGCATGTGCCTTCTTAGACTGGCGTAAGCTGCTCAGGACGTTGTCCCCCAAATTCCCTAAGCAGGATTCAGGCCACCCATTAAAGGGGCTGGGTTACAGAATCCAAGACTTGCCTGGACTCTGAGAGTCCCTAGATTCAGGGTTCCATCTCCTATATCCACTCCTCTGTGTCTTGCCAGTCCTCTTCCATCCCCTGACAGATGTAATCCCAGCTTTGGCCCCACCCCATGGCCTTGGCCACCCCACACGGAGTTCTGACATGGCAGCCCTCTCTGCAGGTTGGGTTCAAAGCACGGGCTCCTGAGTCAGACCCCAGCGTTCCAGCCCAATCCGGGCCATTTCACTTATTAGCACTCTAGCCTCAGACACGAGGAGCTCGCTCCCTGTGCCTCAGTTTCCTCCGGTGTAAACATGGAGATAGCAATAGAGCGGCTTACAGACGGTGGCTGTAAAGTGCTTGGCACAGGGCCAGGCCACACATGGCTGTGACTATGCCCCAATTATGGGCCAGTTAGTTTTTTGGTTTGGATGCCCAGTTCGGAGGTGGCTAGAGAGAGTGAATAAAGCTCTGCCCCAGGGGGGTGCTGGCTCTTGGATGCCCACTGGTCTGTGCTACAGATTGGAGAAGTGGTATAGGGTGGTGGAAAGAGCTCCAGAAGGGGCTCCAGAGAGACGGGCTCAGGTTCCTCAGCCTACTGGGCATTTCCTTCTCTGCAAAATGTGGTGGAGACACTCACTCTGCCAGCCTGCCGGAGAAGTTGGGGCAGCAAAGGTGTCCGGCACTGAGCATACTTCGAAAAGTGAAAAGCCGTGTGCATTTCCTGAAAGCTTCTCTTTCTCTTGCCGGTAGATTTTGGGCCAAATGAGTCCTGGGGCCTTGGGGGTGAACGTGGTGGTGGAGGAAACAGGAAACAAAGTCAAGCACGTGATAAAGCAGGTAAGAGGTGGCTCCTGGGCGGGTGGTTCCCCCAGACACCTGCTCATCCTCCCCATGTTGGAGAAAGCCCTCCCGATGTGACAGTTCTGCTGTCTCTGCTGCTCTTGCAGCAGTCAGAGAGGCAAATCCCGTCGAGAGTAGACATGGGGGTGGCCTGAGGCCCCTCGGGCTTCCCAGCACACCCGACTCTCTCGCCTGGCTGGAGAAGGAATAGGCTCATTTTTACTTCAACAGCTGCAACCAGGCTCATCTCATTCCATCTCCCGCCAACCCTGTGAAGCAGGAACCAGGGCCCCGCTCTACAGCCAAGGATAGGGAGGCTTGCGGGGGGCGGGGGGGGGCTGCAGACTTGCCAACGTCGCACAGCGCCCAGGAACACTTGAATTCAGGCTTCGTTACTGGGGCCACCTTTTTACCAAAGGGGAGCCAGGACTGGGGTGGAGGAGGGGTGGGCAGGGACTTGCCCAGGGTCACACAAGGCTAAGGGCAGGACATCGGGCCCTGGGCCTTTCCACCACGTCCTCACCAGAGCTGGCATGGCAGGGTGGGATACGGACCTGCAGGGGTGAGTGCTTTGCGTGTCCGATGCTAGGAGAGTGTCTGCACCCCCTCGTGGCGCACGGCAGTGGCTGGGATACCATGGATTGGGGTTGACTGTGCACATGGAGGAGCCTCGTTGACATCAGCTGCTGGGGCCACCTCTGCTCAGCCAGGCCTCCCGCCCGTGGAGCAGCTCAGCAGCCTCTCCCCGAGGAGACTGGGCCTGGAGGCCTTACCTTCGTCCCGCTCCACGGCGGGCTGGCGGTGGGGCTGGCCTGTTGTCTCGTGGGCCGGTGGGGCCGGAGCCCACTGCCTTCTGGGCAGTCAAGGAGCTTTTTAAAAAGCCAGTCAGTCTTTCTTGTTTTAAAAACTGGAGGTGGGGTTCAGGTAGGGATTTTTGTCTCCTTCTAGTCTTTTCCCTAAGCCTGTATAAACTTTGTTTTGACAAAAATGCCACGGAGCTCGATAATGGACCTTTTCCCACTTGGTGTATTACAAACACCATTTCATGCCACAGACACAATTTCCTCCTCTCTTGGCTCTGGTGGCCGCGTGACCGCATCTGCTCCATGTGGTGTAACTGACCCAACCACCCCTTGTGTACGATTAGCACAAAGCCTGTTCTTGATTTTTCACTCTACATATAAACAACTCTGATAAGCAACTTTTTTGAGGATCCATGATATCCTTGGGATAAAGTCCCAGGGGTGGGGCCTCTAGGTCAAAAGATGTGACATTTTGTAGGCTTTCAGTATGTTTTGGCCAGATTCACCTGTAAGCATGAGTCCTGGCACAGGAGGAAGGGAAAACAGACAGACTCACTCTGCAGCTGTATCTGGGGTCTGTAAGGATCTGGGAATAAGCCACTGCCTCTGCATTTTCATCAGCAATCACCCCCAATTACAAGAATTCGTCATTTGGAAGTCTTATGAGCAGAAGCTCTGAGTGAGGGTCTGGTATTAGACGCAGTGATAATATGCACCTGCTCTCTTTGCCACCAAGTATGTCAGAGACTTGAAGCTTGATGCTGCCCTTCCCACCAATCACCCTTTCCCTCTCCATGCGTTCCCCCACTGCCCCACATTCAGTGACAGGGACAGTCTTCCCAATTCGGATAAGGAATGAAGTGGTGAGGTTGATACACTGCCAACCCGAGCAGAGCTGTTTGGCTCTAGGGGCAACACATTATTTTCTTCCCTGCTTTCAAGATGGTCCGAGAATGGATCCTCTAATGATTGGTTAGAGTTTATATTGTGCTGTCCCAAACTTATCCTTGCAACAGGAGCAAAGATGTTCTCATTGCTCAGAGCATTTTTGGGTCCCTGGCTTAGGAATATCTCCAGGCCTCATGTGGCGCCATGTGGTAGAAGCCCAGTACCCCTGTGAATAATGATGGTGGTGTTGGTGGTGGTGGTGGTGGTGGTGGTGGTGGTGGTGTTGGTGGTGATGGTGGTGATGTTGGTGATGGTGATAGTGATTGATGATGGTGATGGTGGTGTTGGTGGTGATGATGATGGTGATGATGATGGTGATGATGTGGTGGTGGTGGTGGGGGTGGTGGTGATGGTGGTGATGATGATGGTGATGGTGGTGATGATGATGATGGTGATGATGGTGGTGGTGTTGATGATGATGATGGTGATGGTGGTGATGATGGTGGTGGTGATGATGGGCTGGCTACACGGTTACTGAGTTCATGCTCTTGTACCCCTACAGGTGGAATGTATTGATGAACATCAGGCCAACGAGGCCCTGGAAGAGGTAATTCTCTGGGTGGTTCCCTCTCTAGAGGACATGATGCAGAACACGCAGAGACTGTTCTGTCCTCTCCTGTGGGATGACTGGATAGAAGCCTCGGTGGGGACATGGAGGGTCAGAACCAGTTCTTGCCCTATGCTATGAAGCCAGAAACCCCCAGGTCATGAAGGGAGTCTGTGCCCAAAACATTCATTTCTAAATCCAGGTGCAGACAACTTAGAATATATGTTCTCAGAGAAGATAAAGTTTCAGTGTTGGCCAGGGCCCTAGGCTAATCTACCAAGAACCATCTTTTAAAATATTGTTCCTTCAATTATAAAAATATTAGTTACAGTAGAAAATGTGAGAACTACAGAATTGTCTTAACAAAGAAAACGTGTATTCTTTTACATTCCTTCAATTGGCCAGTCGGAACCAACAAGAACATCCTGATTTATAATAACAGCAATGACAGCCACGTGCACTTGGACTCGCTGGACAAAGGCTCTGAGCAGTTTTTCTTTGTTTCTCTTGAATCTCCCATGGAGCAAATGTGTCCCTCCTAGTTAACGGTTACTTGGTTGCCTTTTTTCTGGAATCCCCGGCTCCTGAGCTTCGCCAGCAAAGAGCTGTCCGATCCACAGTATGACTGCCACACAGCGAAGGACCCCGGCCACATCCTAGCAAAGTGGAGAGACTGTGGGAGACCCTCCTACAGCCCCCACCCCATCACAGCTGTGCCCATCCCTGTTCCCTTCCCCAGCCCACGAGGTGACCTGCTCTCGAAGCTGGCCTGACAGCGCCAGAGGCTGTCCATGTGGCTCCTGGTGGCCACAGCAGCCACTGCTGCAGCCCAACTGTGTGGGTCCTCCAAGCACCTTCAGCCGGGAGCGGGGCCCTGGGGCCTCGAGTGTGCACCACCCAGGAGGCGAAATGGGCGCACGTACAACAGTGCCCCACTTCCCTTTGGCCACACGACCATCTCCGGCTACCCCTGACTGTGCTTTCTTTCCTCCACATCAGGCACTTGGCCTTCACCAGCTCACATTAGCCCTCCTGACTCCCCTGTGAGGCAGATACCACTGTCACTGCCATTTTCAGACGAGGCTTGAGGCTCAGAGGGGTTGAGGAGCCTCTCCTCAGTCACACAGCATAGCCAGCCCCACATGCGGGAGAGACGGGACCCACACAAGGCTGCCTGGCTCCAAAGCACAAGGCTGCACCCCCTTCCTTGTGCACCCACTCCCCAGCCCTATTCAGAGCTGGAGATTGTGCCTGTGTTGGGCTACGTGACACAGAAGCACTCGCTGAGAAGCAGTGTTTCTGGAACATCTCCACTTCCTCTGCCCTTGTCCCCGCAGCTGATGCCTCTGCGGAAGCTCCAGCACCCCCACATCTCCATATACCAGGAGCTCTTCATCATATGGAACAGTGAGGTGGGTTGGAGTCGACACCTGCAGGCTCAGCTGCCATTCCGTGGCTCCAGGAACAAGCGAGCTGAGCACAGAGCACTCCAATGCCATTATAACCCCCTGAGCTGCAATGGCAGTGACTCTAAATATGGTTACCCCTGACTCAGCACTTACTGGGAGCCCTGCGGGGGGCTCTCTAGGCATCATCTCATATAAGCCCCCAAGAGTTTCAGCATAGGAGGGGTTGGTATACGACTTAAAGAAGAAATAGAAGCTAAGAGAAACAAGTTCGTCCTGGTTACCTACCCAGTCCATGGCCCAGCTCCTGAGCTCATCCTGCAGCCAAAGTCTCAGTGAGTCTGCCCTCTGAAGGTGGAGCTTTTGACTTCCCTGGAAGGAGCAGGTGTTGTGAAACCAGTGCCTGCTTTTCCCCCTTATTTGGTGTCAAACTGTCCTGGGCCTCTGGACCTTTGACTTTTGTGGCTCCTGCAGTTTACTGCAGACCCGGGGAGATTTGCGGGGTCAGAAGTACCAGTCTCATTTCCCTGGGGCTCAGAGAGGTTAAGGAGCTCTCCAAGACCACACAGCTAGTAACAGCTGAGTGGGAAAAAACAAAACAAAACAAAACACACAACTAAGTGGGATTCAGATCGGGGTCTTGTAAGCCCCCAAGCCCTATACTTCAGCCCATAGGCTACAGGACTTCTTGTCTTTACACGGATCCAGAATCTTGCAAATTATTCCAAATGGGACTGAGGTGGAAGGGAAGGTTGAGCAGGGGTGGGGCGGGGGGACTGGAGGTGAAGGGAGGCTGCAAGGCTTCTTGGTGAGTGTCAGACCACAATTGGACCTCCACATTAGGGTCCTTATCTGGGGTGGACAGCCAAGGGTTTGAGCAGGAGTGGAGGGGCCCCTCATACACGTGCCCCCTGTCCAGCTGGGCCGTAAGAACAGCCTGCACCCCATAACACTCTCAAGGAGACAGAAAAGCCAAGAGGACATTTCACTGTGGAAGGAAAGGCAGGGTCTTCTGAGAGCCCAGAGCTAAGGCCCCTGACCCGGTCTGCTGGAATCCCATTCGGGGCAGGCTCCTCCGAGGGAGGAAACGGACCCAAGCTAAGCCCTAGGGAATAAATAGTTACCCTGGGAAGAGGCGGGGTCCCAGGCACAGGGGTCTGTGTGTCCCGTAGCCAGAAGGCCTGGGCCGCTTTCAGAAAAGTCCGGGGGCGGGGCGCCTGGGGTGCTCAGTCTTTAAGTGTCTGCCTTCGGCTCAGGTCATGATCCCAGGGTCCTGGAATCAAGCCCTGCATCGGGCTCCCTGCTCCACAGGAAGCCTGCTTCTCCCTCTCCCACTCCCCCTGCTTGTGTTCCTGCTCTCGCTGTGTCTCTCTCTGTCAAATAACTAAATAAAATCTTTAAAAAAAAAAGAAAAGAAAAGAAAAGAAAAGTCCAGGGGCTTTGTGCAGTTGGAGGAGCCTGGGCAGAGGGGGAGGGGAGGATAGATGAGGCTGGAGGCGTGAGCAGGAGCTGCCTGTGAGGGGCTCTTACCCCGCCTCTGATAGCGTTCCTACAGCCACTGCGCCCCTGTGGATGGAGGCCCAGTGGAGGGAGGCCCAGGGGCAGGGAACCTCACACAGGCTCCCAGGCCTGGGCTTCTGGGGACCAGGACCGTGGCATCTGGCTAAGGCCTCATGTCCCCATCAGATCTCCTCTCTGTTCCTCTGCCTGGTGATGGAGCACAACAATGGGAGCTTCCAGAAGGTCATTGAGAAGAAGAGGGAGACCAGGACAATCATTGACTCTGAAGTAAGACAGACTCTGTAGGACACACCGGGCCTGGGGACCACCTGGGCCTTGTGAAGTCACAGGCTCAATCAGGGGGCAAAGGGGCAGAGGGGAGGGCAGGCACTACTGGAGTCTGGCCCGATTTTTTCTTACGTTTATGTGTGGAGGTGTTTGCAGGGTGTAATGTGCACAAGTCTTAAGTGCACAGCTCGGTGCCTTGTACACAGGCAGACACTCACATAACCTTCCGCTGATCGAGATGCAGAAGGCTCCTGGAGCTCCAGAAGTCCCGGCTGTGCCCACGGTTGGACTTCTGTCTCCAGGGATCCTTCTGCCCGCCCTGAAGTCCCCCGTCATGGACTCACGCAGCATGTTGCTGTTTGTGTCTGGTCTCTTACGTTGTGAGTGGATCAGGAAATCGTCCGTGTCGTGGCTAGGTGCTGCCCCGTTGTGTGGCCCCATCGGTCTGTGCATAGCCTAGTGCTGTGACCCTGTAGGGTGTTTCCAGTTTGGGGCTGTTGCCATGAACGCTCCTGGGTGTGCTTACCAGTGGACCTAAACACTCATCTTTTCTGGACGAACCCCTGGGCGTGCAGTTGTTGGATTGTAGAGCAGGCTTAGTAGATATTCCAGCATCCACGATGGTTTGGTTGATTTGGGGTTACTCCCAGCAAAAGGTGTATGCCTTCCAGTTCCTACTTTCTGGCCAACAGTTCAGTCTTGTTCATTTTAATTAAAAATTGCATTTTAATTTGAGTTATTATGAGTAATCACAGGGAGTGCTTTTTAGCCATTTGGATTTTGTGCCTGTTCAAGTTTTTTGTCCGTTTAAACATTGGGATTGTTTGTCTTTTCTTATTGATCTGTAGGTGTTCTTTACACATTGTGGATATGGGCATCCAGGGTGTCTTCTCCCTGTCTGTGGTTTGCCAATGCACTTTCTTAACCATGTCTTTTGATGAACAGAAGTTTTGGGTTTTTTTTTAAGATTTCATTTATTTGAGAGAGAGAGAGCACAAGCAGGGGGAGAGGGGCAGAGGGAGAAGGAGAAGCAGGCTCCCCACTGAGCAGGGAGCCTGATGCGGGACTCGATCCCAGGACCCTGGGACCATGACCTGAGCCGAAGGCAGACACTTAGCCGATTGAGCCACCCGGGTGCCCCCAGAAGTTCTTAACTGTAACGAAGTGAGTTTATCAATGCTTCTTTTATCGTTAGCACCTTTGAGCCTCTGTGAAAGCCCGTCCTGCCCCAAGGTCATGAAGATATTTTCCTGTTGTCTTTTGAGCTATTCATTTTTGCTTTCACATTACGCCTAAGATCCACCCCGAGTAAATTCTGCCTGCTTTTGTTCTGAGCACACCTCTGCTCAGGGGCCTCTGGGCACCGTCCTGCCCCTGAGGGCTTCTGAGGGGCATGCAAGCTCCTCTCCCAATGTGGACCTCGGGCGTAGGCTCTGGAGTGGGTTTCAAACTTTCTGTCAGTGGTGGAAGCCTTTCAAGAACAGAATGTTCTCAGAAACCCAGCAAGGAAGGCAAAGCTACTCTAATCAAGGGGCTTAGGAGGACAAGTGGGAGGGGTGGAGTGGGAAGAAGCCCAGGGTCCTGTCCACTCAGCCCCTGTCCGATACCCCTGAGTAGAATCTAGGGTTCCCAGGAACCCGGTTTGAAAATCGCTGCCCTAGAGACTAGATGGATCTTGTTTCTGCCACACAGTTGTTTCCAGAATGTTCTTTATCAGAGCTCTTTTCCTTCTAATGACACAGAGAGGCAAGCCCCAGAGTAGGGAATAAAGGCTTCGATATCTCTGATACCCACAAGGGGTGGGGCCCAGGCTGGAGTATCTCCGGTGTGGAGACGGCAGTGTGGGATCTGGAAGCAAGAACGTTGCCCTTGCTGACTTGGCAGTCCTGTCTGGAGAGCCCCGCGTACTTGAGCCTGAAAGAGACCTGCCTCAGGTCCCTTGCACTGGCTCTGAGCTCTTCTGTAGCTTTGGGCCCATCTTCAGAAGCAAGGAGAGAGCATTCCATGATCTCGCTGGCTGCTTCGAGGGGTCACTGACCTGCCTAAGCCAGTTGCCGGGAGAACACCCCCCCCCCCCGCCAATTCTGGCATCTCTCGCTCTTTCCCCAGTGGTTGCAGAACATGCTGGGCCAGGTGTTGGACGCTTTGGAATACCTGCACCAACTGGACCTCATCCACAGGTGACCGCGGGTGGCCAGGCTGCTGCAGGAGAAAGGGCATGGAGTCCCCTTGGGCAGAACCAGGGGAGAGAGGTGTGTCCGGGGTCAGCACAGCCAGGAGCGTGGGCACCTTTCCAGGGCCCCTCCCGGGCTCACAGAGACTGCTACCCCCTCCACGTCACCTGCAGTGATTCACCCAGCTTCAGGAGTGGACGCTGACCGGGGCAGGCTGGTTCTAAAGTACAGGGCGAGCAGCCAGATAATAGCGCCAGGAAGGAAGTGATTAGGGTGCGCGCCGTGCCCTCTGGTTGGGCGGCGGGGCTAAGCTTCAGCCCCGCGAGTGGCAGGGCTCTGGCACGCACAGTCTGCAGGGGCTGGGAATGGCTGCAGGTTGGGTCGGTGTCGGATCTTAAAGGAGGACAGAACCATGTGAACCCTATGTACAAAGGAAATGCTCACGATTTAGCGTTAATGTCACTGAACATGACAAAATGGTTGAAAACCAGTCCCCAAAAACAAATGCATAGCTGAAATCTGGAAGGAGGTGGATGGATGTTAGCAGAAAAGCAGCAGAAGGATTGGGTGTTTTCCCACTTGTATGTAGTTGGCTTGCGGTTTTGCAATTTAAAATAACTGAGTATATTTTATTTCTGCAGGAAACACCACTTAAAAAGTGGGCTGCAAAGGGGGCATTTGTTGAGAGAAGGGCAGAACTGGGTGGGGCAAGGAGCAGGGCATGAGATTCAGGGTGCTCTGGCCTCCACCCCAGGAGGGTCGCGTGGCCCGCAGGTGGTGGGTGGAAAGGCGGGCACGCCCCCAGACAAAAGTCCCACCTCTTGGTTTCAGGAATCTCAAGCCCTCCAACATAGCCCTTGTCAGCAGCACCCACTGCAAATTACAGGACCTGAGCTCCCACGCACTGATGACAGACAAAGCCAAGTGGAACATCCGCGCAGAGGAAGGTGGCTGGGGTCCTCCCGGGCTGCAGGACCGCAGTGGCTGGGGCACAGTGGGGGAGGGGCCACTCACCGGAGTGGGGTTGCTCCTGGAGTCCAGAGGGCAGCGGCCCGAGCTGGAACAAGGCAACATCAAACCTCTCCTTGCTCAGAAGGTCCCTACAGCCCCCCGTGGGCTTATGTGGGCTCCAAAGAGACCCCCTTGCCTGGGTTGTAACCGAGCAGAAGTACCACCATGCCGGGGTGGGGGGGCGGTGCATGCAGGCAGGGTCCAAAAGACACCCAGAAAATGTTAACCTTCATGGAAGGAGAATGGGGGCTAGTAGATGCCATACACTGGTGAGAGCTGGAGTACTTTACTGAGTCCTAAAAAATCACCAAGGAGATGGTAGATGTGGGGAGGAAGGGGAGATGGGTTCTCCTTCCTTTGAAAAGACAGCGGGGCAAAGGGAGCTGGGCTTCCAGACTATACCAGCTGTCAGGGATGGAGAGTAACCACAGTTGAGAATTTCAGAGTCCTGCATGCACAGAGGATAAATGGATGGGTGGACGGACAGGTGGATGGATGGGCAGATGGATGGATGGGTGAGTAGGTAGATCTGCTGGCGGTGTGGATGGCAGGGGTCCTGGAGCCCACCCCTTTACTCTTTGGCTGGCGAACGAAGGTCCAGAGAGGGAGGGGCTGCCTGAGGTCTATCAGGAACTAACAGACTGATGACCCTGCTCTTTTGGCTCCTTGTCTGGGGTTCCAGTTTAGAGACTAGGGTGGGGCAACTGGAATTTTGCCTGCAGGTTCTTTTTTTTTTTTTTTAAGATTTTATTTATTTATTTGAGAGAGAATGAGAGATAGAGAGCACGAGAGGGAAGAGGGTCAGAGGGAGAAGCAGACTCCCTGCCGAGCAGGGAGCCCAATGCAGGACTCGATCCCGGGACTCCAGGATCATGACCTGAGCCGAAGGCAGTCGCCCAACCAACTGAGCCACCCAGGCGCCCTTGCCTCCAGGTTCTGACCTTTAGAGGAGCGAGATGTTTAAAGAGGGTGGAAGTTTCAGCCTTCTTGGCACATGCCTCTTTCGAACCACATCTGCAGCCATATTGGGCACCAAGATGGGAGTGTGCACCCTGGGCCAGCCTGGTTGGGCACGTGCCCAGGTGGCAGCCTCACTGACTGAGGACCAGGGCCCTCTTCCTTCCCCTCCATAGATAGCACCTCCCTACCCCCCCTCCCTTTCTGAGCCGCTTGCTCCCCCAGGGAGCACAGGACTCATGCATCTGACACCTTCTCCTGCCAACAGACCCTTTTCAGAAGTCCTGGATGGCCCCCGAAGCGCTCAACTTCTCCTTCAGCCAGAAATCGGACATCTGGTCCCTGGGCTGCATCATTCTCGACATGGTCAGCTGCTCCTTCATAAATGTGAGCTGCCTTCTGCCGACCCCTCCCTACCACGCCCTGAACCCCACACCCCACGTCCCCAGAAAGCCAGCCCTGCTGACCTTGGCTCAAAGGGGGCACATTCTCCCCACCTGCATCCTCCTGCCTTGCTCTGTGCCTCCAAGGGGCTGTGTGGGGCACCCCCGCACTCAATATTTGGCCTTCGGGGCCCCGGCATGGTGATGACGCTGACTGAGATATTCAAACTGCCCCATGGCTAACCCTGACGGGGGACTCCCCGGGTGCTCACTGCCTCCTTATGGATGAGAAAAGCGAGTTCAGGTGCACCAGCTCGCCCCCGGCAGGATGCAAGCCAGGGAAACTGGACCCTGGCGGGCCTGAATGCACCTCGGGACCCCAGGCGGCTGTGCAGGCTCAGGTCCCTGGTCTTCCCACCTCTGGCCCTCTTGCCGGCTCGCCCTGGGGCATGGTCGGGGTTGGGCCGATGGAGCAGGGCTGTCTGTGTTCCCTCAGAGAGCAGAAGCCATGCATCTGCGAAAGTCCATCCGGAGCATGCCTGACGGCCTGAAGGGCGTCCTGCAGACCATGGAGGAGAAGAAGATCCCCGATGTGGAAACCTTCCGTTCTCTTCTACCTTCGATGCTGCAGATCGACCCCTCGGAGCGAGTAACGATCAGGTGACCCAGGGGCTGCAGCTGTATCTTAATCTTTCCATGAATCTTTCGCCGTGTCTCCGCCGTCCTGCATACACAGCCACTCGGCGTTTTGATGCCACCAACGCGCCCACTCCTCCGTGGCCCGCTGGGCTTTCCCAAGCGTGGCCCATCCCAAACTGCTATAGCGGCACGCACACCTCTGAGCCCTGGAGCCGACAGAGCCGGCTTCTCCCTCAGGTGCGGGGGTCCCCGAGGACCAGGACCATGTTCCAATTGTAGTTTGTCTTAACAAGAGAAGGAAGAAAGGAACATAAAACAGTGAATCCGGCCTGGGTTCTGTGCACCTTTATACGAACATGGTTGTCAAATCTGATTGTTCAATATATTTTATGGAGGAAGGGGCCCAGCCCCGTGCTCCCGCACCCAGGGAGCAAGCCTGGGACTGCTGGGAGGGGTGCTGCCGAATGGAATCCCAAACAGGAGGGTGGAGCTTGGGTGTCTGCCTGCCTGTCTGCGGGCAGGAGCCCCACAGAGAGTCCTGCAGGGGAGCCCAGCGGCCATCTCGGCTCCCTCCAGGGATGTGATCCACATCACCTTCGTGAGCAGCAACTTCCAGTCCTCCAGTGTTGCTCTGACCCTGCACCGGCAGGTGGTCCCTGCCTTCATCACCGACCTGCTGCTGGAAAGTAACGTCGCCAGCATTTTAGGTGATGGTGGGGGCCCAGAGGGAGAGGGAGCTGTTGTATCAGCTCTGGGGGGGGGGTCAGTGCCTCCCCCCGCCACCCAGTCCCCTGGACTGCTCCTGACACGTGGCCAGGAGGTTGGAAGGCTTCGGGGCTCTCCCTTCCATCCCACCCCAGGCACTGCATTGCTCAGGGTACCCCCCGCTCAGATACCCTCCCTCACTCCTGTCACCTGTACCAGAGTTCATCTCAATGCCTGGCCCCTGTTTCCCCTCCCCTCCTGCTACATGGTGCTCATGACAGCTGAGCAGACCCCCACTGTCACAACCCCTGGAGCCCCCTGCTGTTTGCTTCCACACCCTGCCACACGGTGATCCCCATGCCCAGAGTGGTTGCCCCACTCAGCACCTGTTCCTGTGTGGTTTCTACACGCCCAGAATGGTGCTGGGCACGGGAATGGGCACTGCAGGGGTCCTGCAGTGGCAGGCGCGTCCCTGCAGGGGCTCTGTCTGCCGTGGGACACGGGCAGGCCTCAGCTGAGGGTGCTGCCAGTGACCTGGCCCAGTGCTCACTCACCACCCAGCACTTTGTCTCCACTGCGTGCCCCTGGTGGGGGGCTCCCTGTGGCTCCCAGCACAGGGACTGCACAGCCACCACACCCAAGGCCTTGGGTGGACCATGGGACTAGAGGCCACCTTCAGGTTCGAGGTCGACTCCACTCGCCCATCCCTCTGTGTTCTGGGTGGTCTGCTCACTTCCTCCTCTCCTCCGTGGCTCCCTGCACTGGCTGCTTTTGACAGGGGACTCCTCCCCCATCTGCCACCTCTGCCCCCACTTCCGGGGAAGGGACGGTCTCGAGGCCCTAGCTTCTGTCCCCCCCCCCCCACTGCAACTCCCGGCAGGGGGCTTTGGAGGCAGGCAGCTAGGTCCGATGGAAGCCCATCACCCACCTGCTCAGTGGCCTTGAGCGAGTCGCCCTCTCTGAGCCTGTTTGCTCATCTAAAAGTAAGGAGAACCACAGGGCCCGTTTGTGGGCCGCTCCGAGGTGCACAGCGCCCAGACACGGGTGGGGGAGGGGTCCTGAGTTGGCCACGGGATAAGGAGGGGGTCTCCAATGTGCCCAGCTGGACGCTGCAGCCCATTGTGGGGCTGGGGTCGTCTGTTAGGAGTCAAAGGCAAAGAGCCCTGCAGGGAGGCTCGGAGGAGCAGTGGAAGGAGCCCTGGGCTCGGGGGAGAGCTCTGGCTGTCTTGAGCCTCCAGTGAGGCTCCAGGACAGGCTTGGGTTTGACGCCGGACCAGCTGCTAGGCCTGCGGAATGGGGGTGAGAATGCCCTATCGCATGGATCTGTGGGCAGTGTGGTGCCTCCAGGTGGGCCCCAGGCGCCCCGGCCCTCAGAAGGCTCCTCCCCATGTGGTCCTGTCTCCTGCAGAGGTCATGCAGAGCTTCTCCAGCCAACCTGAAGTCCAGCTCAGAGCCATGAAGAGGCTCCTAAGAATGCCTGAAGACCAGCTAGGTAGACCCCCCACGCTCCCACCTTCCCCCGCTCCTCTCGGGCTCAGCCTGTGGCCCGGGCCTCTGGGGTGGCCGTGGCCCTTCTCTCCGAGCTCTCCTAGAGGGCCTCTCCTACACCTCTGAGGCTTGCTGGGAATTCCTCCCGTGTCGCCCCTTTTGCCCAGCAGAAGGGGGGGATGGGGTGGCTCGGTAAGCAAACAGTGTAGTGACCGGCCCTCACATGGTTCTCACGGGCTCTTAGTAAGGCTCTTGTCTTTTCCCCCATCTCCATCGATGGCTGGCTGGGCGGTTGCCAACTGTCCAGTATGATAAACGGCACGGGACTGAACACCCCAGAGCATGGGCCCCTGTGCGCTGTGGGACAAATTCCTAGGTGCTCGGGGTGTAAGTATTTCACTCTTTCACAGATACCGCCAATTACTTACCCACCTATCAAGAGTGCATGACAGCATCTCTCCCCAACACTGTCCATCAAGCAGTATTCATATCTTTTAAATTTTGCCAAAATAGTGTCTCATAAAATCTCTCCATTCAACTTGCCTCACCAGCCTTAATATTATACTCACTCCCTCATCCATCCATCAGTCCTCCATCCACCCCCCCATCTGTCCGTTTGTCCATCCATCCATCAACTGTCTGTCCATCTGTCCTTCCACAGAAGGCCTGTTCCAGCGGCTGGGGCATCTCTGAGTCAGTAGCAGAGACTTCATACTGACCCCTTGCCTTTCCCTCTTTCTCATCCTTCCCCTGGGCCCCTTCTGGAGCTAGGCTGTGGCCGGAAGAGTCCCCAGGAAGGGAGACTTTGCCTTCCTGGAGGGGCTGAGGGAGCCAGCCTCACTGGGAGGCGGGTTAGCTGTGCTGGGCCTCCTGGGACCTGTGCTCTTGTTCTGGATGTTCTCACTGCAGGCCTGAGATGGAGGGCTCTCGCTCCCCACTCTAAGGGCGTGGGGAAGGGGCACTGCAGGGACCAGACCCTCGGCCGCCGCCCGCCCGGGGAAAGTCCATGAGACCCACAGACGCCTGCACTCAGGGCAGTTATGGCCACGGACTCCAGAGTCAGACAGGCTGGGTTCAAAGCGAGTGCTTTGGTCTCTCTGACCCTGTTTTCTCACCTGTAAGAGCGATAGGAAGCCTCCACCTCAGAGAGCTGCTGGAATAAGAAGATGCCCAGGGCAGACACACATTCTTTCCTCACCTACTCATCTGTCCAGGCGCCCGTGTGTGATGCCCTGTAGACTCCCAGCGGCGTGGGACTCCCTGGTCTGGTCCGTACACCCTTCCTACCCCCTGCTCCTGGGCCGAGGCTCAACCTTGCCACCCGGCCCTGCCAGGTCTGCCGTGGCCGATGGAGCTGGTAGAGATGTTGATCACCATCATGAAGCAACACGAGAGGATCCTTGACATACAGCTCTACGCCTGTTCCCTCCTGCTGCGCAGCCTGGGTCAAGGTGGGTGCCGAGCCACGTGGGTTAAATGTTGACCCTGGCACCTCGTCCCGGGCCCGGCAGAGTCTTGGAAACCAGCACTGGCTGCCCGGTGCCACTTACTCACCGGCCACATGGGCTGGGCAGGTGCCCACCCCTTCCGTCCTTTGCCCCATCATGCAACCAGCACTTACGGGAACCTACTCCAGAACAAGCCTGACCTTGGCTTTCTCCACACAAAGTGGGGGCATTGCCTACCCCCCAGCCAGGGAGGGGGGGCCCCCCTGCAGGCTACCTGCCCCATGATCCCCAGTGTGGGACGTAACCCTGGTCATCTTCTCTTGGCCTGAGCAGCGCTGGCGCAGGACCCGGCGGCCGAGGTGCTGAGTGACAGCTCCATCATCTCTGTCCTGCTGAGCACCCTGTGGAGCCACCCCGAGTCAGAGCAGCTCCTGGTCACGGTCTACAGCCTGCTCACCATCATCTCCAGCCAGGGTGGGTCGGCCTGGCCCTCCCTGCTCAGCCGGGGTGTGGGGGCGGCCTGCCCATGACAGCACACACTTGCACTGCCTGTGCTGGGGCTGTTCCACATGCTTGGCCTTTTTTTGTCTCCTGATGGGAAGCTTCCGTTTGACTGTCACTTGTTCCCTCCACAAACGTGCAGACATCGACCAGGTGCCACCGTGGGCTTCACGCCTCGTTCATCTCTTCACGGGGCACCTGAGCTCCTGTGGCCCCCAGCCAGCCAGGCAGGGGGTGGCAGGACTGGAGGCGCTGCGGAGAAGCAAGGGCCGTACACACCGTGCATTGCTCCCACCCACCTCCTCGGGCAGCTGGGCCCGCGAGCCCAAGGATGCTCACCTGGAGTCCTGTGGCCAGGGGAGGGACGCCTGCACTCTGCCCCTCACCCCGCTCGACTGGAGCCCACTTTAGGGAGTGAACAGGGGTGCTACGAATAAGCCCGTTAGGACAACAGGCATAAATCAGAGCCATCAGGCAAACTGGGTGTCGGCTCACTCACCAGGAAAGACATAATCATTGCTCCCACCCCAGAAGGCTCAGGCCTGCTCTGTGTGGACCCAGGCGGCTGGCCCCAGCCCAATCATGGGATAGGCAATACAGGGACTGGTGACCCAGGGGATGGGCCATGTCCTCTTGTTTCAGGGCCCCACACTGGGTATGACTGGCCCAAAGTAGATGCTCAGAAATGCAGGATGCATGGGCCTGCATGCGTTGGCAAGCACCACGGAGGGAGGCGGTGCTCAGGGTAGGCTTCCTGGAGGAGGGGGTTCTCCGTGGCCCTAATTCTGGGGCCTGCCCACAGAATCGGCCTCAGAGAAGCTGCAGAATGCTGGGCTGTTTGAGCATATCCTGGAGCACCTGAGTGCCTTCTCCACAAACAGGGACATCTGCATCAATGGCCTGAGCCTGCTCTGGGCCCTGATGGTGGACGGTGAGGGGGCCCCTTCTCCCACTCTCCTGTTGGGGGTGGGGGGCTGCTATCCTTTTGCCGCTCCCTAATCACCTCTGACAGCCTTCAAGGGCCTCCACGGCCTGTACCTTAAACACTTCAAGAGCAGAGCCCACAAAAAGACTCTTCTGAGAGCCTGCAAGCAGAGGAAAAGTAAGGGAGGGAGGGGGCGGGGAAGGGGGGCTGCACCCAGCGGAGGCAGAACCTCCTGTCCTGACCGGGTAGGTCGTCACAGACTCTGGTGGCTCCCGCCCTGGGAGGAGCCTGCCACACCTGCCACACATCCTGGGATTTCCCGGGCAGTCCCTGGTTTCTGATGGTAGCTTGGCACTGGCCCCCTCCTGTCACTCTAGATTCAGAAAGGGCCCCGAGGCTGTGCTGTTTCCTCTCCTCCAGGCCCCGTCTTGGCCCTCTGGCCATTTGGGCATTCGTTCTAAGGAAAAGAGGGCTCCAGGCCACGGAGAGCCTGGGAAACCAGAGAGCGCTGCCCACACCCAGAGTGCAAAAACCCCCCAAGACCAGTTGGGGGCAGAGAGTCCCCACCCTCCCAAAACTCCCCTTTTCCCTGACCTCTCCCCGAACAGGTGGGAGGCGGGGGGTGTGGGGCTATGTATACAGCAGGCACTGCTGCATGCACTCAAGGGCTAGGTGTCGCCTCCATCCTGCGCTGGTTGCAGCTATCACTGTGAACAAGACCCCTTTGGAGAAAGCCGCGGTCCTCATTCCCGAGGTGCTGGCCACCTACCCCGGGGACGCGGAGATGGCTGAAGCCGGCTGCGGAGTCTTCGGGCTGCTGTCCATGCTAGGTGAGCAGCCCGGGCTGGGAAGCGTGCGCCCCACGCACAAGGCCACGAGGCCTCAACTAGGCCCTCTGCAGGTTGCATAAAGGAGCACCAGTTTGAAGATGTGGCGGCCCTGTTCCTGCGAAGCATCCGGCTGTGCCCGGACAGAGCCCTGCTGGTGAACAACGCCTACCGGGGGCTGGCCAGCCTCGCAAAGGTGTCCGGTGAGCCCGGTTATGGACGGGGCTACCACTAGGACGTGGGGGCAAAACTCAGCAAGGCAGGTCTGCCAACCGCCCGCAAACCCAACACAGAAGCAAAAGGATCAAAAAAGGAAAAGAACAGTCTATAGTTCCTTCTTCCAGAAGTTGCCACGGAGCCTTTTTTTTTTTTTTCTTTTTTTGCTGAATTCTCTTTCCCTGTCCACAAACACATATTAGGTCTGCACAGGCATCCCCAACAGGTTTAGCTTATCAGAACACCCCAGGGGCCAGGTCCCACCTCTGTAACAGGACCGGTTTGTTGTTGCTCAGTGCACAGCACCTGGCACTGTGACAGGATGGCACTAGAACCCCTCAGACACACTTGGGGCCTGCAGACTGGACAAGGTTGCCCACTGGGGTGTGAGCAGGGCTTCAGCTCCTTTGAGATCTGGTCCCAACTCCGTGTCCCAGGGGTGGGCTGGGCTGGGCTGGGGGCCAAGGGCCAAGGCCAGTCTGCTTCTCAGCCTGAAGTTGTCTGGGCCCGAGGAAGGGAGTGTGGCCACCCTCACTCCTGGGAGGGAGGCTCCAAGGACCACTGGCAGGGTCTTCCTTTCCAGTTAGACACCCTGGGCTCCGGGGCTCTCCCCCAGCCTGGGGTCCCACCCACACAGGTCTGCATCAGCTGCCCACCTTCAGGGGATGGGAGGGGAGGCTGAGGTCCTGAGGGCAAAAGGGACCTGGCTCAGCAATGGAGGAGGGGATGGTCCAAGCCCAGGGCCCACATCTGGGAGAGAATGGGCTTTGCCACCTGTCGGCTGGGACACTCAAGTCATCCCACCTGAGCGTCAGATCCCCAGGTTCCAGAGGGTCTGATGAGTACATTTACACTGGTCCCCAGCCCCTCAAGAGTCAGGGTCTAACCCCTAACTGGGGGTGTATGTGTGCAGTGTTGGGGTCCCCCCCGCGCCCACGCTGTAGGCGCACTCTGCAATGCGCTTTAGCACTCCTGGTGCCCACAGGCTGAGAGCACCCCGAGGACAGGAGCCTTCTGTTGGAAGAGGGAGGTGGGGTGTACATGTCCCACCATGGGGACACACCGACCTCAGATGTCCCCAAGCAGCGGGAAACGGCCTCCTCTGCCAGTGGCTGAGGTCCTTGCTAACCTAAGAGCTTTGGACTCTCAACGACCCTGAGAACTTGGTACCGCCGTCACCCCACTGGCTAGAGGACACCGAGGCATAGCAGCTGGAGTGAAGGCACACCCCCACCCCCCAGAGCTGGCGGCCCTGCAGGTGGTAGTGCCAGAGGAGAGCGGCAGCGGCCTCGACCTCCTCCAGGAGATGTACCGGCTCTACAAGGACGACCCTGAGGTGGTAGAGAATGTCTGCATGCTGCTGGCCAACCTGGCCAACTACAGTGAGTCCCCCTGCCCTCCCCACCCCTCCAGGACACCAGTGGTCAGAGGCACCCTGCTCCCAGCTCTAACTGGCAGGGGGAAGGGAAAGAACCAAATCGCCACTTCCTGTCGGTTCAGTGGGAGAGCTCACTAGGCGCCGCATTGACCGTGGGGGATGCCCGGCTCCTGAGCCTCAGAGGCAGCGCGGGTTGGGCTGAGCCCGAGGAGGATGGGCCCAACCTTGTCCTGCCAGCCTCCTCGGAGGCGCCCCGGCAAGGGCTGTGGGGCATCAGGCTGGCTGTGCCCTGACCTCAGGACCCTCTGCTTTGCTCACAGAGGAGATCCTGCCTGAGCTGGTGTCCAGTGGCATTGGGCCCCTGGTCCAGGAGATCAAGGAGCGCTTCACCTCCAGCCTGGTGAGTACCCACAGGGGCCCCAAAAACCAGGCCTCCCACCTGCCTCTACAGTCAAGGTTCTGTGTCTAACAGACTTGAATCTGTGGGTGTATAGTTTTTGATGACCCTTCTCTTTCCAGGAGCTGGTTTCATACGCAGAGACGGTGTTGCTAAGGCTGGAGGCCACCACGCCACCCAGCTCCGCAGGAGGACAGTCAGCTCTGCCCTGAGGAGGCAGACACCCCAAGGCCTCCCGCCCCCTCCCCACCTTCTCTCCTGCCCTTCCTTTCCTCCTATGCCCCCAGAGCTGCCCGGTGAATGGTGTTTTCCTTAGGCTTCAGGGGGACTGTCTCCAGGGCGAGGCCCAAGGCCGGCACCTGGCGTGGAAGCGTCCTGGGGGCAGGATGGGCCGGTGGTGCTCTGGGAGCGCGGTTCGGCAGGTGTCCCGCAGGCTGCGGCCCTGGCCTGGTCAATGTGCCAGTTGGACACAGCGGTCCTTTGGGGCCACTCTAGATGAGAGAAACAGAGTGACCTTCAGAAGCTCCACCTCAAGTAAAAACCTGCATTTATGTTAAATATCCTCAGTGGGTTTGGGCCTTCCTTGTGCAGCAGCCAAGTGGCTCGGTGAAGCCTGGGGCTTTATGCACTGAGTGCGACCCACTGCTCCTGACTATTCTCAGAAGACCCTCACACCTGGGTCACCCCGCGCTGTGCTCCAGCCCAACAGCCGGGGGTCAGCACATCCGTCCTAGACAGGGAGGGGCACCCACCTCTGGGGGCGACTGGTGTCACCGAGCTCGGACAACTGGAGCCTCACCGCCACCCCGTGGGCCCTGCCCTTAAACGCGGCGGGTGTATACATGGGGTGGGGGTGGGGGCTGAGAAAGGAATGGCGCCCTCAGGAAATCAGAGTCCAAAGGCAGCCACAGCTAATTCCGAGACGGGCCCGGGCCCGCTGAGTCCAGTGGAGTTTTTATGTGACTCGAGGCAAAGGAGAGGGGCCTCCTCCAAGGAAGGCGCTGAAAACCCAGTGGACGACTGGGTACTTCCCACCTCTGGGATGGGGCAAATCCCTGGCAGAGCTGCCGCCGGTGACAGCACGGCGCAGGCGGCCCCGACTCCCCGTCCTGGCAGAGGTCCAGGTGCCCCTCCACGCCCGCCCCACCAGCCACCTCCGGCGGTGGACCAGGTCTCAGATCACAAACTCAGAGGGAAGCAGCAGTTCTCAGCAGCGCGTCCCCACGCCCTGCTACCAGAACAGTGAACATGTTTTGACAAAGCTGCCACTCTGGGGAGACCCGAGCTGTCCCGTGCTTGGTCAGAACCGCCCAGGGACGGAGGAGACGCTGCTGCGGTCTGGAGCAGCGGTTGTGGGGCGCCTGTCCTGGGCCATACTCTCCCACTCCTTCTTCACCAGAATGTAGAGTTTCATTGCTGCCTGGGCATCCTGAATCTAAGAGACACAGAACACCACTGTGACTGTCCCAGCAGGTGACCAGCATGGCCACGGGCCACCCAATCCCATGGGGCATACAAAGGAGAAAGCCAAGCAAAGCAGCGTTCTAGGGATTCGATCCTGGCCGGGCTTCGGTGACTCTGGTGCCCCGCTTCCAGAAGAAGAAAGGAACCCAAGGAAGGTGGGGGGGGATAGACATGCTGCCTTGTGACACAACAGACACATGGACACGCAGACGGGAGGGCGGGCTCTGAGTGTGAGGCAGGCCGGGGCCACGACGTAGGGGGCTGGGTCCCACAGGCCAGCACTCCTCGGCCCCGGCACCAGAGCCTGTCACAAGGCCCAGGGGGCCAGCCAGCCTGGGCCGCATCTTCCTAAAAGGCCTTCAATCTAGACGGGGGACTTTTTCTCCAAAATGACTGCAATAACGGCAGTTTTTTGTGTTCAAGTGTTTATTAGCTAAGCGTAAACACTCAGGATGTAGCGAGCGCTCTGTGAGTCGCTCTGCCATCTTATTTTTATAGGCCAGCGGCCTACTAAAAAGAAGTCATCCAGGCCCCTGACAGGGCGCCTTGGCTGCAAGGTCAGGGACAGCCCGCAGTCCCGAGGACCGTCACCCCAGCCACACTTACCGAACAGTGCTCTGCCTGCTGCACCGTGGTCCCCACGATCCTCCTTGCGAGCAGCTTCAGAGACGGCCTTCCACTCTGCGGGGGGGAGGAGGCAGCACACAGCCATGGTGGGGAGGAGGCCTCACAGGCTCTGCCCGGGGCGGGGGGGCGGGGCAGTCACCCACCGAACCCCAACCCAGTGCCCCTCAACGTGCCTTCACCAGAGGCATGCGTGGCCCCCAGGGCTGGTGACCCCCACTGTCAGCCCGAACAGGAGGGCCTGGGAAGGAGTCTGCACCTCCACCTTCCAGCCTCAGGCCTCTGTCTCCAGCAGGTCCGAGGGCAGCTTCTTCCCCAGAGCTGGGGGTCTCGTCACAGAGATCAGAGCATTAAGAACCTGCTCTCATTCACACTGGCCTCGGAGGGCAGCGCTCGGCAGAACGCTACTTCTCCTGTTAACCTTTCTTTCCGTTTTAAAAAGTTAACAGGCAATGCCAAACCATAAACCAAACACCGTTCACCGATACACCATCAGCAACCAGAACCAACCACTACACAAACAGCCCACCTGCGATGCCCAGAGCCCCATGCCCTGCCAGTACCTTCACCTGACTCTTGAAAGGTTTGTATTTCTGTGTGTCCCGAATCTTCTTTTTTGGGTGATCGAGAAACAGCACCTGGAAGAGGAGGGTGACAGTCACGGTGTTGCCAGTGTGCAGCGGTGGGACCCCCTCTCCCAAGGACTCCTAACACAGAGCACACGCGAGTGAAAGGGTATTGGTGTGAACTCGGACTTCTGATAGAAAGCGATCACGCTGTCCAAGGATGGTGGCCGACATTTAAGAACCCCGTTCATAAAGACCCCGTCCCGAAGCCAGGGAAACAGGAGACCAGCAAGCACGGTGTTCCTGTGGTGTGAGCTGGTGTCCCACACGCAGGAAGTCAGGATGCTAACGGATCGCAGCAGCTCGTCCGGAGAGAGCCAGCCACGTGGGGAGGGAGCAGGAACCGGCAGGAGGGCGGCCGCTGGGGGGTTTATGGCCCCGCATGGTGGAGGGCAGAGGACCTGCCGTCAGTTTCAACAGTTCAGAATTTCGAAAGGCAACGCAGACCGACAATCAGGGGTGCCTGAGACATCTGCGAACCCCGGGGTTCCTTGGAACACTATTTGAGAAGCCCCACGCCCAGGAAGGACAGTCTCCCACTCTGCCTGCCCCGCACTCTCATCAAACAGGCGACTCAGTTCTGCCCACAGCAGAGACCCTCAAGAAGCAGAGGCTGGAGGCCACAGCCTCTAGGGCACAAGTGGCCCCTGGAGCTTGCCCACCATGAGGGAGACAAGAGGAGCCCTTGACGGTCTGGTGGCCGTCGGGGGCTGGCTGCAGGGGACGCTTCCCCACAGACGGCGGCTCTGAGCTCACAGGAGCACTAGGCCCTGGCCAGCTGGGTGGGCGCTGCAGAGGAAGCAGCCTGGCTCTGTGTATGTGGAATGTGCTAGAGCCGTGGGAAGGGGGCCCGGCACCAAGTCCGGGCTGCACCCAGCTCTGCCGTGTGGACGCAGCGGGCACGTCACGTAGCTCACAGCGCCTCACTTCTAGCGCCTATAAAAGGGGCACGAAGCCTCAGATGCCTTTTGAAGAGCTGAGAAACACCTAGCACTCCTCCCAGCACACGGGGAGGACCTGGGAGCTGGTGCCATTACCAGGGCCGAAATTCCAACACTGGAGTCCCTTCGTGGTGCAGCACGCGCCCCACGGCAGTACCTTCAGGTCGTTATGCAGCGCGTGTCCCACCAGAATCCGACCCTTCAGCATGTCTGCCACCTCCTTCTGGACAACTTCAAATTTTTCTCCTGACGAGCAGAACAAAGAGGTGGGTTTTAGCGCCGCGGGCCGCACTGGGGAGCCCGACACGCAGCTCCACCACAGCCGAGAGAGGGGCTTTCAGAAGTGCTCACAGCCGCCCGGCAGGCATTTTAACTGTTGAATCTTGTAAGAACCAGGCTTGGATTTCGTGCTTTCCAACTGCAGACAAAATCAAGAACGGTGCTCCGCCGCAGTTGGCGAGGGGGGCTGCTCCAGACCCTCGGGCCCAGAGGCAGCGCGGCCTGCTCTCCTAGCAGATGCCCCTGGGGGCACCCCCACCCCCTCCTGCCAAGGGAAGGGTCAGGTCACCGTGCTTGCACTCCGTGACTCCACCTGCCCACCCCCCGCCCCCGAGAGATTAGATCGGGGCAGCCCACCCTAGAGCCTAGAGCCTAGAGCTGAGGGGTGCTCAGGCCAGGGCACCACTTGTTGGTCGGGTGTGCAGAGGGGACCTGAGAGGCGCAGAGAAAGAACACCGAGTGGGCCAGGAAGGAGCAGTGTGGCCTTGATCCCAAAAGCTTCCAGGACCTCTCCAGGTCCCTAACCTTGGGAGTCGCCCTTGGGGCCTTTCTGGTCTTCCTCCCACAGGGCCAATCCCTCACAAATCCCTACAGACTCTGCCTTCGGGATACATCTGGGTCACAACCACCCAGGTCCACCAGCACATGGCCCCTCTTCCTGTTTCCACCCTTACGGGTCCAGAGTCTCTTCTCAACGCCACAGCCAGAAGTAACCAGCTAGAACCTGAGCCAGGCCTCTCACGGCTCAGATGTTTCCATGGCTTCCTCAGGTCCTCACAAAGACGAGACCCTACGATCTATCCCATGGCCCCTGCGGACCCCACACTGGCACACACTCTCTGGGTGACACAGAGGTGGGGACACACACGTGGCCTGAGAGCCTCTGAGAACAGTCACCCCAGGTGAGCTAAGAATGTCGGGACTCTTGCTATGGTGAATGCTCCGAACAGAAAGGGGACCAAAGGGAGAAAGAAGAGCTCCTGGCTGGCTCAGTCGGTAAAGCGCACGACTCGATCTTGGGGTCGTGAGTTTAAGGCCCATGTTGGGTGTAGAGGTTACTTAAAAAAATTTAAAAAATAATAATAAAAAAAGAAAAAGGGAGAAGGGACCCAGGCATCGCTTTTCCTCTGTGCTCATCAGCTGGGAGGACCCACCCTGCTTGAGGTTCTCTGGCCGTATCCCGCTGACCGCCGTCCTGTAGTCCGTCACCGGCTGGGTGGGCTTGACGTACTTGTCATAGACACACTTCCCATACTGGTTCACGATGGACACTCGGGCGGCGACGCTCTCTTCCCCCTTGGGGCCCACGCCCACCATCTCACAATCCATGGCTAAGGCTCTAGTCAGGCTAAAGGGAGCCAAAGGTTCCAGTTTAATCAACACGGGGGACCCAGCACTCGGCACCTGAAGCTCTCCGCCCACCACCACCGCCTGTGGGACAAGCTCTCCGCTCAGGCTCCTCGCAGGACGGGGCGGCGCCTGCCCAATTCAACTAGGGTTCAACTAGGGGAGAGGGACGGAGCTCCCTCCTGAAACCCTCGCCCTCTGGGGCTGAGGGCCACCCCCGGCCCCGGCCCCGGCCCCGCACACCCGCCGAAGGCCTGCTCCTTCACCAGCGTGGTGCTGCTTGCGCTCTGCCCCAGCTGCTTTCTTGCTACCCTGGCTGCCTCGGGGCCCACGGCCGCTTCGATATCTGCGGGGTCCACGTCATCAAACCAGATGTCGTCTCTAGAAGGCAGAGAGAACAGGCCAAGCACTGGTCAGCAGAGGTGCTGGTACAGCGGGGCGGGGGCGGGGGGGCACGGCCCCAGTGCTCCTGCGGACTGACCACGTGCTCTGCCGCTCGTTTCCTTACAAGACAGCCTCCTTATCCCAAACTTACAAACGACAGATAAACACAAAGGACACAAGGGGTAAACATACAAGCCAAGTATAACGACTACTAACACGTGCTTCTAAACTGAGAAAGTTGTGGGTTCATCACCGGACATTTAGAAAACACAAACGTGAGAACCATGAAATGGAAACACAGACCCACCCCCCCACAACACCTCCCAAGCTAGGGCGACCTCTAGCGTCTTCAGATCAAGGCCTCAAACTCGGATGTCCACACAAGGGTGTGTATTCCTGCCTGGTGAAGTCTGTCCTTCGGGCTCAGCTGAATGTCATTTCTTTAGAGATCTCTTCCTGACCCCACTGAGCGGACACGCTCCTCTGGCCATGTGCTCCACAAGCTTCTCCCTTCAGTTTATCCTGACCACACTCACAGAATTACTGGAATAACTTCAGTCTGGCCATCTCTCCTGCTCGACTATCAGCCTTAAGGGGGAGGGCTCTGTCGTGCCTGCTCCGTTTCCAGAGGGTGTCCCTGGCTCAGGGATACACGGCAGGCACTCAAACCCCTCTTTCCTGGAACCTTCAGCAACCCAGGCGACTCGCTGCCAGCTGACTTACAAACATGCCACCTCCAGCTGAGCCACTGGGAAGCAGCCCCGGGCTCCTGGTCCTCCCTGTGCAAGTGACCCCCACGGGGTCTGCTGAGTAATCACCAGGTGCTGAGCTAGCACACTGCATCTCACACCCCGCCCCCCAACACCACAGATGACCACACTGAGGCACAGGAGATGTCAGGAGCTCGCACCAGAGCACCCGACTCGCCAGACGCAGGAACTGGTCTCCAACCTGGGTCTTTCTGGCTTTGGCATGTGTTCATCCCACAAATCGTCACTGGAGGCCTACTAAGGGCCAAGCTCTGCTATAGGCCCTGGAGACACGACAGTTACCAAACTGGCCCTGCCCTCATTAGGCCTCCATCCTGGGGGAAACAAGTAAGCCAAGGAACGGCAGCGGGGTAAGGTGCTAGAGGGGGTGCAGGAGGGGCCCCCAGCCCAGGCCTCCTGGAGGAGACAGGCCGCAGTTGCTGGGACTTTGTTCTCAGAGGTGAGCCGATGGGGGCCACCGGCTGCACAGGGAAGCAGAGGGGACCAGGCGGGCCACCGGAGCTTCAGTGAGGGCAGATGCCACCTGTACTTACTCGGTGGGCAAGGCCGGAGTCAAGGCCACGGTCACCTCCTTAGCTTTCCGCTTCTTACGCTTGACGTCTCCTCCTTTTGGAGAAATGTCACCGTTTGTCCTTTTTTTGCCTCCTTTCTCACTGTGCTCTGGTCCTCTGGCCTTGGTGCGGGGGGCCGGCACCTTCCTGTTCCTTGGAGATATTGAAGGAACAGAGGCCCTGGCGACCTCGGGGTCCGTGGTCTCCGATCCCATCTCACTTCTCTGGGCTGTATCTGGGATCACTTTTCTCTTTTGTTGGATGATCTTGGGCTGCTTTTTGGAATCCGTCTGAGAGGCAAGAGGCTTTTCCAGGGCCTGTGTTTTTTGTTTCAGGAGCTAACAGGACCCAAAATAAAATTCACGACACGTTTTAATTTGGAAATCACGCACAAGAGATTGAAAATACTCGCATGTGTACATATATGTACGTGTACTCAGTCACGTCTACGAATGTCTGCTACCCTCATCATCGAGATTCACGTTCAAACGGTCTGGGAAAAGCCCCTTTTCATGCCCATCTGAAGTCACTCGTGGTGAAATGCACTTCTCTGCTTATCTGATTACATTGCAGGATTTGATACCTGTTTCCTCATTCCTCTAAAACTTCAAACGGTGTTCTCCATCTTAAGTACCTACTGAATGACTGAACAGAGATTACGTCACTGGGAGCCTGAGGGGACGATAAGCAACCTGTTTTCCTGTTTACAGTTCATTTAGAGTTACCTCTCCTGCAAATTAGGCCAAGGAACTGCAGCATGGAAACCACGTCCTTCACCAGATCTCTTGTTTTGCTACTGCTGTGCGGGTCTCAGGAAGAGAGATGGAGAGTGTCTGTCAACTGGAAGAGGCTCGAGAGCGGCCAGTGGCCATCCTTCTGCTGTCCTACAAGAAGGGTTCTCGGCATTCCTCCAGCCCAACCTTTCCCTGGTGCTCCAGTCCCCAGCACGGCTGTTCTCGGCCACAGTGAAGACCCTGATTATGGGGCAGTGAGCCGAGACACGAGGGCCTGGGTTTCTACTTACTTGTTCCCACGACGTTTAAGAACAGAAGGATTTGCTTTGTTGTATGAAGTAGAGAAAACACAAGGTTTCCCCCACAATAACCACCCTTCCCACTCACTTAATCTTGCTTTACTTTCTTGGGAGAAAAAGAAAGAGAGAGAGGTAGAGTCACCACTCAATAAATCGTACAGAACCCTGGGGTTTCCCGAGGAAACCTCATCAGTCCTGTCCCTCAAGGACAGGTGGCTGGGGCCTCCCATTCTAAGATACCGGCGCTGCTGAGAGGCTCCAGAAGCTCTTTTCTGCTGTCTTGCTCACCTGGAGGCTCTGGAACAGACTCCAGAAAACCGTGGAAGACTCTGCAGGTCAGTAGTAGCAAAGAACACAAACTGGCGCCCGAAATGTGACCCTGCACCCGCGTCCGCCACGTTTTTACTAGCTGTGTGACGCTGGGCCCAATTCCGTAAGCTCTGGGCCTCCAGCGACGACCACAGCAGCTAACTCTGAGGGACGCGTAGAGAATTATGACTGAACTACAGGGAACAGCATGGGGCAGAGAGGAACATCCCCCGAAGGACTGGCCCAGGTGCCGATAAAAGTCAGCAGGGCGCCACCCGGCATTCAGGGCAGGGACTCCGGTGTCGGACCGGTTCTGCTCACCCTGGATCACTTCTCTAACCTTTCTGGGCCCCCTTATTCGTCTGTAAACCAGAGATGCTAACGGGGTCTACTGCAGGGTGTTGGTTTGGGGGTGAAATAAAAACAGAGACGAGGTGGCCGAGTCTGCACATTTCAAGAGCTGGGCACCTGGGGGCAGCAGCCATCAACTATTACTTGAAAACCCTGGCTGTTGCTGCAATCCTCCCCATCAAGATCCCGCTGCTTGCTGGCCCGAGGGCTCGCGGTCTACCTCAACAGGCCGACCTGCCTCGAAAGGCTTGCCTGCACAGCTGCCGGCCGGGGCCCCACACGTCTTTCCTCCGTCCTCCGTCCGCGCGGCCCCGCCAATCTTACCGCCTGCAGCGCCCTCCAGTTTTGGGAAAAGTCCTCTGGCGCCTTTGGAGGCCGCACGACGACGACCCCGGCGCCGCCTCCCGGTGTCCCGCTTGCTTCTCGCCCTTTGCTTTTCCAGACTCTCTTCTTCCTGCTTTTCTTCCGAGGTGGCTTCTTGCCAAGCTCCGGCTCAGCCCGGGGGTCTGCCGGGGCGCGCCTGGGGGTCAGCGCCTTGGCCATCCCGCCGCCGCCGGCCGGGGACCCCGGGGCCCGACACCAGAGCGCGACCAGAGCCCCGCCGCCCGGGCCCGGAGCCGGACTCTGCCCTCCCACCGCACGCCCAGGCCAGCCCCCAACTCCCCCACTCCGGTGACACCTGCCTCCCGCACCCCGGAAGCGACCCCGCGCGCGCCCCGGCACGTGCACGCCCGTCCCCGGAAGTGCTCTTCTCTCCCCGACCCGCTGGAAACCGGGCCTCCGCCCCTGGTTCCGCACGACCCGGGGCAGAGCGGGGCTCTCCGCCCGCCTGGAGAGAAGGTGCACCGCCCCAGCGAGCGGCGTCGGGCTCCACGACCGAGGGTGGGGTTCGGGGAGGCCCAGGATCTTCCAAGAGCCGGGACGGGGATGAGAAAGGAGGACGCCGCAAGGCAACTGGGGGGCCGGCGTCGGTGTACCACCGCGGCTGGGCCGGCCGAGCGCGGGGGCGCAGGCGGCCGCGAGGGGGCGCTGGACGGCCGGGCCGGGGGGCGGGCGTGGGGGGAGCCGGGGGCGGAGCGGACGGCGCGCCGGGCCGGGGCCACGCCCCCAGCTGGGCGGCCCGGGCTCCGCCCCTCCTTCCTCCCCGAGTGGGGAAACTGAGGCCCGGGGACGGAAGGACGACCTCCACGCAACGGGGCTGCAGAAGCTCTTAAGCCACAGCCGATAGCAATGAGGAAGCATTGTAACAATGCTGTGTATTATTTTACTCAACAGCGGTGGCAATAAATCACCAGCACCCCTTTGCCTGGCCCCTCGGTGCCTTGATTAACCCCGCGGAGGAGCCTCGGCTTCCCGAAAGCTTCCACGTGAGTCTGTGTGTGTGTGTGTGTGTGTGTGTGTGTGTTGGGGGGGATGGGGGGCTTTCAGGGAGACAACTCACAAACCAACCAGGTAATTTTGGGTACCAGTAACTGCCGAGAAGGTGATAACAGAGATGCTGGGAAGAGGTTGACCCCTGCGGGTGGTGTGGTTACCAGACAACATGCAGGATGCCCAGAGAAGTGGGAATTTCAGATAAAGAATAATTTTTAGTATAAATATGCCCGATGCAGTAGTTGCTATATTGGGGGCATACTTAGACTAAAACGAAAAGTATTCGTCATTTATCCAAAATTGAAATTTAACTGAGTGTCCTGATTTTTATCTTCTGAATGTGGCAACCCTACCTGGGGGGGCCACTTAGATCGGATCATAAGGGAGGGTCTCTTTGAGCAGGTGACATGTGAGCGGAGACTTGAAGGGAAAACCAGGGCTCAGGGAAGAGCCGCAAAGCCCTTGCCGCGTCTGAGGATCGGGAAGCGGACTGGTGTGGCTAAGGCTCTGTGTGCGAAGGGGAGAGGCTTAGAGATGCAGGCAGAGAACAGCAGGACCAGTGTAATCTGTGATTCCAGAGCCCCGGAGGCTGCAGGAAGGGGTTTGGACATTTTACTCTAAGGGCAGGGGAAGCCATCGAACGCTTTAAAGCTGGGGGGCGACGCAGTCTGACTTGAGTTCTTAAGGGATCCCTGCCACTCTGTGAGAAATGGGACGGGGAGGGCGCTCGCAAGAGAGTGGGGAGGCCAGGTGGGAGCCCATGACCAATGCCCAGGCCAGCGGTGATGAGCTTGGATTAGGGGGCAGTGTGTCCTTCTGGGTCTCCGCGGAGCAGTCACAGAGATGGTCAGGAGCCCACAGCATGACCTGGGATGGCGTTCCTGGGAAAGATAAAGGGGGACATGCGGGATGGGCAGGGAGAGCCTCAGGCAGTCACGCAGATCAGGCCTGGGAGAGGAAAGCAGACGGCCCCAGGATGGAATCCGCACAGCCTCTGGGGTTACAGAGGACACGGAGGCAGGGAACCTGCACAGTCCCCCTGCTAGCTGTCAGCTGAGTTGGGCGTGGCGTCCTGGAGGTGTGAGAGAGATGGAAATAGTGCTTTGGAGAGTGTGACCGAGAACCTTCCAGAAAATGGAGTGGGCTGCCAGGTGGTCTGTGATGCTGAGGGCAGTGTGGTGCCACCTCACCTGGTTCTGTGACTGTCCATCGGGGGCAGACACAGAATAGTCAGTAGCTGAGGGGGAGGGAGCGAGGCAGAGGAGTGTTTGTGAGACATGAGTATAGTGGGGGGCCCGGGATATGCACTGGGTGAGGAGGTGAAATGAAACAGGGTCACTTATGTCAAGGGGTTTTAAAATGGAGCCAGGAGTCCATTAAGGAGATGGGCTGCATGCACGTCCTCCCCATCCTCACCCGTGGAACTGTGAACTTTTGAACTGGGCCAAAGTGCAAATATTCCAGGGACCTAGCCTGAACACTTGCAACCCTCCTACAGTGAAAGACCGCTTACTGTTAGCCTTAGTCCAGATTCATATTATAAAGATTTCTTTTCTGTTGCAACACCAATCAAAAATTCTCTGTAAGCAACGGACACAGCCAGCCTATTTTTGCTGTGAATGCTCCTGACTTTTGCTCCCTAGTGGGGCATTATTTGGATCGTGACCCAAATCTCTGTGCCCTGAATTGCAGTTCTTCGATCCCAAATAAATGAGCTTGTGTAATGATTGCCTCCTGACAATTTTAGCTTGACAAAAGGGCATGAGGAGTGGAGAGCGGGACAGATCATGGGGTGTCAGTAGAGGAGAGCGGGCTGTCGGAGCTGGAATGCACAGCCTCTCATCAGTCAGGAGAGAATAACCCAGCCTTGGTTAAAGAGTCATGCCTGAAGCCACATCTGCAAGATCCCTGGTCCAGTGCTCCCTCCTCCTGACTGCCCTGCTTGGCCCAGCCCCATCCCAGGGCGTAGGATCCGGTGCTCTGGACCGAGGACCCGCCTCGTGCAAGAGTCTGCAGGCTGCCCACTCCCATAGCCCCTGCCCCCAGAGGAAGCTCCCAAGAGTAAACACAGCCTCATCTTCCCGCCCACCGGGGTCTGCCACATTCCACACCCGCCGGATTTCCAGTCACAAGGCTCTCTCCTTCGGCTACAGGCTGGTTTTCTTGAGGATGAGGCAGCCTCACCCCTGGGGGAGAGGCGTGGGGGCAGTTTTCACTTCTGCCTTCTTTCTCCTGGGCTGCTGGGGTCTCTCTGATTTCCAGCAGGTGGGTGAGTCTGCAGGCGTGGAGGTGTTCGGGGAGCCCTGGGGCTGGGAATCTGAGCTCTTCTGGGTGCTGAAGGAGGGTGCCCTGGGGAGAGAGGGAACTGCCCAAACAGCCTTTGGGCAGAGTGGGGGTGTTCTTTCAGCTTTGGGGTTTGCACTGGTGGGGGTGGATCTGAGCTTGGGGTTTCGGGGATGGCGTATGCTCACTGAGGAAGGAATGGGCTTCTTGGTACTGTGTCCTCCTCCCCTACCCCCCACCTCGATTCCCCCCCCTTGCCTTGTCCCTCTGCCACCCCTTCTCCCTCCTCTCTTCTCCCTTGTCCGGTCTGTCTTGCAGCAATTTCTTCAGGCTTTGGAGCCGGAGGAAGTGACTTCTTATTTTGGCCCTGAAGCTACTTTGAAAGGTACTTGTCGTGGAGTCTCCTGAGCAGGCAGAGTTCCTCAGAGCCTGAGGGGCCCATC